ACTCACTGGCTCGGCAGAAGCACAGCAGAAAAGGATGTGTGGTTTCTGGTGGACCACAAATGGAATGTGAGTCTACAGTGTGATAGTGTTGAAAAAAGGCAAATGTCATTCTGGGATGTATTGACAGGAGTGGGGTGGGTCGGAGATGGGAGCTGACTGTTCTCCTCTACTTGGCACAGGAGAACCGTGTCCAGGTTTGGGTGCTGCGCTTCAAGACAGATGAGGACAAATTGTAGGGAGTCCAGAGGAGAGCAACAGAAATGATCAGAGGTTTAGAAAACATGACCTGTGAGGAAAGGTTGAAAGAATTGGGCATGTTTTGTCCAGTGAAGAGACAGCTGAGGGGAAACATGATAACAATCTGCAAATATGCAAATGGTTCTTATAAAGAGGACTGTGATCAATTGGTGCCCATGTCCACCAAGGGTAGGACAAGAAGGAATTGGCTTTGTTAGCAGCGAGGGAGATTTAGGTTAGATATTTATAAAAACTTTCTAACTCTAAGGATGGTTCAGCACAGGAACAAGTGACCTAGGGAGGCTGTGGAATCCCTGTCATTGGGGGGGTTCAAGAACTGGTTGGATGTTCTAGGTGCACTTGGTCCTGCCTCAGCACATGGGGATGGATTGTTTGACCTCCTGAGGTCCCTTCAACTCCACATTTCTGTGATTCTGTGAAGTGGTGCTAGGCCCTCTGCACTGTGGTCAGTTCCCCACATAGGGTATCAGGTACTCAGCAAGGTAAATGCTTATGGGGCCGGGAGAAGTTGTAGGGCAGAAGGAAGGAGAGCAGGGCATGCTGAGAAGACAGTGCTTTCCTGTGTGCAGTACTGTCGGTTGATACGATATAATGCAACAGGACATGAGTCGACTGGGCTTCCTGTCTAATTTCTCTGAGATAAGGAGGTTACAAAGCTCAGAATCCTCAGAACTCGACCTGCCCTGACAGCGTCTGAGCCACCATGGGAACCCGAGGTGATGTGTATCCATTGGGTGAGTGGAACAAAGTCCATGGGATAAACTCGGGTGGGTCTAGGAGAGTCCAGGGGGCCCACGGGTCTGTCTGCACTCGGGCTGGAAGGTGAATGTTCCAGCTCGAGAAGACGTAGTCGCGTTAGCTCTTCTCTAGCTAGAAACAGAAGTGTCGCCATGGGGGCAGGAGGGGCTGGCCGCCCTGAGTGTGTACCTGTGGTCTTGGACAGGATCGTAGTCGGGGCAGGGAGCCTCTCTCGTTACTTTCCCAAGTGCAGCCACACATCAATTTTTGCCAGCTGAGTCAGAGGAAGCCCGGGTATGTCTCCTTGAGCTAGAATTTACCCCTAGGCAGACGCTACATTGGTGTAACCTGCAATTTCCTCTGCTCCCTCCAATGCTCATGTTGCACCGAGACTCCATCCAGACTCACTGAAACACCCTTAGATTTACTGGGCCAGATTCCTGGGGCTGGCTGAGATGGGCTCATCTGAGATAGGGTCACTATGAGACCAGAGCATGGAGAGGTCAAAGATGATGTCAGGGCTGAATCCCCACTCTGGCACCTCGAGTGCAGGAAGTGGGGGCCCACAAGGATTTTAAAAATTAATACATGCCAAATGCAAAAGAAACGCTTTGAACCCAGGAAGGAGCACTTGGGGATTTCTCCCTGTGGGGTATCCTCAAGCCCTTTCACCCCTCTCTGGGGAAGAGCTGGTGGGCTCTGGGCGCCTCCCGGCACAATGGGCAGGGCCGGATTTCCGATTAGGCACAGGAGGCACATGCCTAGGGGTGCCAGCATTCTATGGGGACCTAAAAATTCAAATTTTGCCGCTCAGGTCCCAGCAGGGGGCGGGGCCGGCTGAAGGAGAGACAGCCCCAGACAGCCCTGCTGCTGGAGAGCTCCTCCCTCCGCCCAGCAGACAGGGTCACCTCCCAGGGGGGCCAGTGAGTGTGGGATGGGGGGCAGGGCTTGGGAGAGTGGGTCTCTGTGGGAGTTCATGGGGCAGCTCTGGGCAGAGGGGGTGGGGGCCACTGGGCGGAAGGTCGCTGGGTGGCAGGGCACCTAAAAGTTAAAAGTGGTGGGGATCCCCCACCGCCCGTGGCAGTTAAGAGCTTCCGGAAAGCAGGGGTACCCTGCAGTTCCCGGCTACCTCCAGGCAGCAGGGACCCTGGAGCTCCAAGCCGGGCAGGGGAGGAACGACTGCCGAGCCCCTGCACCAAGGGGCACCCAAAGTGTAAATCTGGCCCTGACAATGGGGGCTCCTGGTCTTTGTTGCTAATACACACAATAAAAGACCCAGTTGCCCTGGCCAAAAGTCCAGTTGCTTACTTGAATTAGTTAAAACTATTACCAGGGATCCCAGCTGGGTCTGATTTCCCAGAGCACCAGGTTTCTGCATTTTTAATTTCACCATCGGCAGGTCACTGACTGGCCCATTGGCCCAGGATTGGCAGGACGGGGGCGGCTAGGGGTGTGTGCAGCTGAGTGGCGATTACCATCTGCCCATGGTGCCTTACCCTGTCTCTGCCTTCCAGGGCTCTGCATCGCCCTGTGCCTGGGGGGCACCATGGCCCAGAATAACGGCACACAAGGTAAGGCTGACTCCTCCTGGCTAACCTTCCCAAGCACTCCCGGCTGCCCGGGGTCTCCGGCCTCCGCCCCCTCCGGTCCCTTTCCCTTGTGGGAGGAGAGCAGAGTCAGGGGTCTGGCGAGCCGGGAGCAGCCCCTTGGCGTGGGCGTCTTGGGGTGGGTTTGTAGAGCACGGTGGGTGCGTGCAGGGGAGAGGAGAAGGCCCCTGTGTAGCCCTCCCCTTTCCTTCCCAGCCCCATGGCCAGCAGAGAATAGAGTGGGGTTGGCAGCCATTCAGAAGTCTTCATTTATTCACTCTAATGTAAGGTTTCGTGTGCCAGTAATACATTTTAACATTTTTAGAAGGTCTCTTTCTATGTCTATAATCTATAACTAAACTATTGTTGTATGTAAAGTAAATGAGGTTTTTAAAATGTTTAAGAAGTTTCATTTAAAATTACACTAAAATGCAGAGCCCCCCAGCCCGGTGGCCAGGACCTGGCCAGTGTCAGTGCCATTGAAAATCAGCTCGTGGGCCGCCTTCGGCACGCGTGCCATAGGTTGCCTACCCCTGGAATAGACACTGGGGCCCAGGGCTCTACACTGGGGGCTGGAGGGAGGGGCAGATCCCCTTTGTAGCCAAGGGCCCTGTTATTGACCAGCCCAAATCAAAGCTCCTGATGGCTCAGATGTTAGAAGTGGCATTTGTAGGTGCCTCCGCCCCTCTAAAATCGGGCTGACCTGAAACCTGGGACCCACGTGCCCAGCTGGGGGCGGGGGGGCGTTTGGGATCAGGACTCTGCACCCAGAGCCCAGGTCTGCTGCGAATCCCAAGATGGGGCAAATTCCCATTGACACACTGGGGTCCCCCAGTGCTGCTCCCACCCTGCTCCGTCTGTTCCCATCCCAAGCCCTGCAGCCGGCTAAGCTGCGCTGGGATCCTTCCCCTCACGCTGGCCAGAGGGACGGGTCCCAGCGGAGCCCCAGACACCGGGCAGCTAAAGGATGCAGGAGCCCCCGTAGGCAGGTCACAGCCTGGGTCATGGGAGGCAGCTCAGGATCCAAACTAGCCTCGCGCCCGACTCCGCTCTCAGTCAATCCAGAGCAGAGCCGGGCAGGAACTTCCCAAGGACCCATTTTTTGCCAGAAAATGCCGATTTGGTTCAGAGGAATGTTTGGGTTTACTCGGGGAAAAATTGCCCAGCAGGGTGGAGGGAAGGTGAAATAATGTTCAAAATAAACAATTCCCGATTTCTGGTTCGAAGTGAGGTTTCAATTTGAAATTGATGCTAACGAGAGTAACGACGACAGCAACAAAAAAGGAGAAAAATTGGGTGAGATCGGGGGGGTGGGATAGCTCAGTGGTTTGAGCATTGTCCTGCTAAATCCAGGGTTGTGAGTTCAATCCTTGAGGGGGCCACTTAGGGATCTAGGGCAAAATCAGTACTTGGTCCTGCTAGTGAAGGCAGGGGGCTGGACTTGATGACCTCTCAAGGTCCCTTCCAGTTCTAGGAGATAGGATGTCTCCAATTTAAAAAAAAAAAATCACTTGAACCAATGGCTCTGCCTGTCTGTGCCGGGGGCACCCCGGGGAGCCAAGGCCTCCAGTGCAATTGAGGGCAGCTTGTTGGCAGGCGGAGGATGGCGTCGGAGTGTTTGCCAGGCGCCCAGGGACGAAAATCAGCGAATGGGGCGTGTGAAAGGAGTCGATCGCACTGTGTGTCGGCGGCGGGGGGGGAGCCACTTTGCACTGGCTGACCCTGCCCAGCTGTTCCCGCCCCTGCAGGTACCACTGAGAACTGCAACAGCCATATGCAATGCCCAGCAAACGCCAAGTGTGTGAACAACACCCACTGCACCTGCCTGGATGGATACCAGTCACATGGGAATCGCTTCTTCACCAACCCAACTGAGATCTGTGACGGTAACGGGGCTCCCACGCTGTCCTGGGGGGGCTGGGACAGAGCAGGGCATTAAGTGCCGGAGCAGCCAACTCCACTGACTGCAGGGCCTGTTGGGGGGGCTCAGCCCGGCTGGGGAATGAGGGGGGGCAGCAGCATGGGTGAGCGCCGCCCTCCTGGGGATCGAACCGGGGCCTCCAGAGTGAGCAGCAGGAGCGGCTGCAGCAGGAGCCAGGAGTGTTGGGCTCTGTGGATTGGGCATAGGGTGGGGGGGCCCATCACACTGACCCGTCTGAATCCCAGCCTGGGCCCTAATCAGCCCCTGGGTGTCCTGGGGCAGAGGGGCCCCACGGGAGCAGAATGGGACAGCCCTGGCTATACTTCCCCACCGCACTCCCTTGCCACACAGGGATCCAAGGAGGGAGGGGGCGGAGGAGAGGCAGCTTGTCACCCCTCCCCCCAATACACAGAGAGCCTGGAGCCCGGGGGACTTCTCCCCACCCTCCCCTCACATGGGGGATCTGGGTGTTTGTGGGGCCAACCCCCCTGTACCTGGGACAGGAGGCTCGGGGGGGGGCTGTTTCCGACATTCCAGCAGCAGAAATTGGTAACTGAGAATCAGGGCCTTAATCACTAACCGCTCAGGGCCCCGGTCGCCTGGGTCCCATCACCCAGCTCAGTACGGGAGGCCGGGGGGCGGGGGGTGATGGGGGAATGTCTCCCTGCCAGGACTGTACAGAGCGTCCCCTCTTGCATTACAGATATTAACGAGTGTCTGGGGCCGAGCCCGGCAGACTGCGGATTCAACACACACTGCGCCAACGTAGCTGGGAGTTACTACTGCACCTGCAGCGATGGCTACGAGCCCAGCTCTGGGAAAGCCAAGTTCATGAACACGAGTGAGAACACCTGCCAGGGTGAGCTCTCCTCTGGCCCACACCCTATGTGCCCACTCTCAGCAAGGGGCCACACCGGGGCCGTCCGCGAGGTTGTGATGAGACGTGACCCTCGCCTGCTCCAGCAGAGCATGGGGCCCGGCTCACCCCTGTGCCTGGCGCTTGGATGGGGAATAAACAGACCCACGGAGCAAATTCCTTGTGCTGCAGAGATGTGCTGGGGAGAGGGAGGGGACAGTCGCTGGCCCCAACACACAGCATCTGGGCTGCTAGTGTCCCCCTGAGCTGGGAAGGGGCCTCGTGTATGAATCATGGAAATAGCACAGTGCGCTCTGCCCCCTCTGGGCCCTGGGGAGGAGAGAATAGCCACAGCACAGTGTGCCCCAGCCACACCCCCGATCCTCCCCCATGGGCCCTGGGGGACAGGGAATAGCTGCAGTGCTGGGCACCCTGGCCTCAGCCCCTACATCAGGGGCTAGGAGCAGGGTGGGTGCAGGACCCCGACAGCTCCACACCAGCTGGGGTGGCCCCTTGTGCAGGGTGGGGGATTCTCGAGTGGCCGTTCCACTGCCAGAGCAGCCTAGTGCCGCCTGAGCGTAGCTGGGAATCAGGCCTGTGATTGTTAAGCTCCCAGGGGCCCGGTCACCTGGGTCCCATCACCCAGCTCGGTGCGGGTAGGGTGACCAGACGTCCCGATATTATCGGGACAGTCCCGATTTTAGGGGACTTGTCCCATGTCCCGACCTTACATCGGTAACGACGCACTTTATGTCCCGATATTGGGGGAATGCGGCAAGCCGGCGCCGCTCCCCGCTTCTTCCGGGCCCTGGGGCAGCGCAGCTGAGCTCCCGGCGCCGGCCCCCGGCCGGCAGGAACCTGCAGAGCGCTGCAGCCCCACTCCCCAGGCACGCACAGAGGCAGGGGCGGGGCTTGTAGGCGCCGGCAGCCGGCAGCGGGCAGAGAGTACCCCTGCCCCTGCCCCCACCCAGTGCAGGGAGCTCTTTGGGGGCGGCTCTGGTTGCTGGGTGGGGGGCAGGGATGGTAGCCCGGCTCAGCTCGCGTTGCTCCTGAGCCGCCGGCCACTCGCTCTAGGTAACTGCTCGCCTGCTCGGCCCCCTTTCCTCTGGCTCCCCGGTTCCAAAAGCCGCCAGTCCGGGACTGGGTTTAGAGGAGCAGCCCCTTAGCCATGCTGCCCGCCCTGCCCTCCTCTGGGGGCGGAGGAGCTCTCTGGAGTTAGGGCAGTCTTGCAGACCCAGCCATCGCTGTTTCCAGAGCCGAAGTCTCTTCCCCTGGAAGGGAGGGGATCTGGGTGGAAGGAGGCGTTTGTAAATGCACCATAGATTGAGTGGCTCTTGTTGACATACACAAGTACTGCTGTGTGCTCTCTTGAACGGAGTGGGTGTGGGGGGGGCTTTGGTTTCTGCTCTCTGCTAAACAACGAAGGCTTAGAAATGTGCAGAGGAGGACCAGAGGAGAGGAGGACCAGTCTGAGGGGAGCAAAGTCTCAGCCATAGGTGGGTTGGGATATATGTTAGGTTGAAAAGTCCCTCCCGAGTCCCACTATACAAAGAGAATTGGGGGTTTGTGGTTGCTGGCTGCCGCGCCTCCCCGGCCCGCCCCCGCCAATTTTTCCTCCTGTGCTCCAGCGGTGGGTTTTTTTTTTTGCTGCGCCCCCCTGCGTCCTGATATTTCACTTCTGTCATGTGGTCACCCTAAGTGCGGGGGGATGGGGGCAGGGGTGATATGGGGAACGTCTCAGTGCCAGAACTGTACAGAGCGTCCCCTCTCGCATTACAGATATTAACGAGTGTCTGGGGCCGAGCCCGGCAGACTGCGGACGCAACGCATACTGCGCCAACGTGGCTGGGAGTTACCACTGCATCTGCAGTGATGGCTACGAGCCCAGCTCTGGGAAAACCAACTTCACGCACGCGAGTGAGAACACCTGCCAGGGTGAGCTCTCCCCTGGCCCCCCCACACCTTGCTCAGTTAACCCCCCCCCCCGCCGCCCCGGCACCGCATACACACATTCCTGGGCTCATTCCAGGCCTGGTGCTGTGCCAGAGGCTGCTACCGGCTGCAGCAAAGGCACCGGATCCACTCACCGGGCTGTGATGCGCTGTGACCCTCAACTGCTGCCAGGATCTTCCCTACCTTGGTGTTTGGATTGGGAATAATCCCCTGGGTTTGCAGGGAGGCGCCGGGGAGATGGGTGGGGCCCTCGCTGTCCCCAGCACACAGAATCCAGGCTGCTAGTGCCCCTGAGCCTGGGAAGGGGCCTCGTGGATGGTCCACATACAGCACAGTGCGCTCTGCCCCCTATGGCCCTGGGGAGCAGGGAATAGCCCCAGCGCAGGGCACCCCGGCCACACACCCTGTCACGGAGTGTGGGGGAGTTAAGGCCCTGCACCCCTCTTCCTGAGATTCATCGTGACTCTCAGCCAGCCAGTAAAACAGAAGGTTTATTAGGTGACAGGAACACAGTCCCAAGCAGAGCGTGTAGGTATAACCAGGACCCCTCAATCAAGTCCTTCTGGGGGGGTTCAGGGAACTTAGACCCCAGCTTGGGGTTCCCTGCGTTGCACCACCCAGCCCAAACTGAAACTAAACCAAAACTCCTCCAGCAGCTTTCTCCCCCCTCCCCTCTGCTCCTCCTCTCCTTTATTTCTCCCAACCCCCCTCCTGGCTCAGGTTACAGCTCAGGGAGCTTCCTTCAAGGGAAGTCCCCCATCCCCAATGCAACCCCCCTGCAACATTCCCAGGTCAAATCTGCCCTGCTCCCTGCTCCGCTCCCTGCTCTGTCACACCCCCAATCCGCCCCCTCCCTCAGGGCTGGGAGCAGAGCCTTTTCCAGCCCCACACTGACAGGGAACCCCCTGGATGGGAGGGTGTTTCCTAGGAGGGCCAGTATGTCCCCTTAGGCAGCCAGGGTGGTCTGACCGGAGAAGGGGCCGGTGCGTTCCAGGCCCTTGTTTGCGACGTTCAGCCGGTAGTTAGAGCTTGTATCAAGTCCTAGCCAGCCGTTTCCGGAATAAAGCAGGTTCTGGAAACGCGGAGCCGCCTTGGTGCTGTCAGGAGAACCCGCAAGTGTCGCAGGGTCGAGGGGCGGAGGAGGCAGCACTTGGCAGGATGCAGCCGGTCGGTTCTTACAGGGCTCAGTCTGCCCCGGGAGCAGCTCAGCCTCTGAAGAGGCAAAACCGTGGCCCCGGCCAGGCTGAGACACAAGTCACGCTGGCACTTGCACAGCACAGACGGGATCAGAGCTGGGGCCCATCTAGCCTGGTATCCCGGCTCCCACGGGCCAGAGCCAGATGCTGCAGAGGACGGTGGAAGAGTCCTGCAGTGGCAGCTGGGGGATAATCTGCCCTCACTTCCTGGTCTCTAATACTCAGCTGGGCTGAAGCCCCACAGCAGGAGGTTTTCTCTCTTCCCAAACGTTTGTGCCCTTTAACTATGATCACTCTGGCTGTTCTCATCATCCGTAGGAATGTCCAGTCGCTCCTGGAATCTTGCTAAATTCTTGGCCTCAGTGACTCCTGTGGTGGGGAGTTCCACAGGTTAATCGCACATTGCGTGAAACAGCCTTTCCTTAGCTTAGTTTCGACTTTCCCCTCTTCTCACTTCCCTGACTGGCCCTTGCTCTCGTGTTACGAGGTTGGGAGAACAGAAGCTCCCCATCTCCCTTCTCTATCCCCGTCAGTCATTTATAGACTCTTAACTCTTACGTTCACTCTAAGGTGACAGTCCCAGTCTTTTCATCAGTCTCTCTCCATAGAGGGTTTTTCCAGGCCCCTGATCATTCTCATTGCCTGTCTCTGAACCCCTCTGGTTCTGCACTGTCCTATGTGCAAGGGGGTGCCCAGAGCAGCTCGTGGGATGCAGAGGAGGTCACCCCATTGACTGATCTCCAGGCATTAGACTACACATGTTATTCTCTATCCCCTTCCTTCAAAGCAGCTCTGCATTTATGGCTCATTCAGGCATTCCCGTCTGCACTGATATTGTGGCACTGGGCATCACCAGATCCACTTGGTAGCTTTAGCAAGCAGCCAGCGCGTGTCCTGGCAGGGCTGCTTTTCCCTTCCCAGCTGGAGCGGCTCATTCCAGACAATAGCCAACTTGCTCCCGGTCGCTGACCCAGTAACTGAACTCCTGGCTCTAACCAGCCCCGTTCCCCAGAGCACGGTGCATGTCGGACGCCTGGATTATCCTCCAGCAGCGGAACCCCAGTGCACAAGGTACAGCTCCTAGATCAGCCTGACCTAGCGCTTTCTCTATCCTTGCAGACATTGACGAGTGCCGGCGAAACGCCACAATCTGTGAGCCCCACAGGAACTGCTTCAACATGCAAGGGAGTTACATGTGTAAATGCAGTGAGGGATTTGGGAAGAGTCAAAAGGATCCGTCTAAGATCTGCACAGGTACAATGGGAGCTGGAAACTGTCGTGGCAAAGGCATGATGTTTCTGGCTTTTCTGCAGTGTTGCTAACGCGTGGCATTTCCTTTAGCCCCACCTCCCAGAGTCACGTGATTCTGCTTTTGGCTAAAATCAAAATTAGGGCCTGGCCCACATGGCAGAGGAAAAACTGCCAAACATTACAGTGGGGTGACCGACAGCTCCCAAACCAGAGTCAAACAAAACGAACCCCAAAATGCATTTTTTAAAAAAATCTCATGATTTTTAAACCAATTTTGTGACTTTTTTGCAGCATGGCTCAGGGTTTGGGGCTTTTATTGATTGCTTGGCGTTGGCGATGGTGTTAATGCACGGCCACTGATCTTTCCCAGGATCTCTGACACTAACCCGCATGCCTGGAGAGTGAAACTAACCAGGTTGCCCTGAGTTCTCGCTCTTTCTCTGCGCCACAACCGGGCAGTGTCTGTTCTGACTCCCAGCCTGTCTTACACATTGGATACTGAGCCCGGGGACTAAACGTCGCCATTTCTCTTGACATGCTGCTTAATTCCACCGCGGCACCAGCGTAGGGCTTGGGGATGTCATTAGGAGCTGCAACATCCCC